AAATTTCAAGCTTTTGTAATTGTTTTATAGTGCTGTTGGAAAACTCTTCGATTTTGTTTTGGTACAAAACACGTATATCATTTCAGAAATGCAAACTGAAGAAGGTGCCAATGTTTCACGTTTATGACATATGCCCCTGTAAATTAGCCATCTTTTACAGTCACATATTAAATTAAATTTTAAATGTACAAATAAGAAGTTAGAAGAACCATCCAAACAAAGAATAGAAATGTCAAAATCCATAACAGAAATGCAATATCCAAAGAATGAAAAGCAGTCCAACCAAGAAGAACCAAACCAATCAATCTATTGCTAAACCAAACCAGAAATAAATAGTGAGATTTTGAGATTGGGGCCTAAAAACCGAACCTCGTTACGCGAGACCATAGAAACTCCATGAATTTAAATCCATTGTTCTGTAACGATATCGGCCATCTGAAAGCAAAGAGAAAGAAGCCAATGGCAAAATGAACACCACACTAACAACATCACACACTCATAGCCGTAGACTATAGATGGATTGAGTACATCAGTGCATGACCTTTTGAGCCTGAGAGGCAACCATTGAAGATCCAAGTTGTACTACTTCTTGATGCAGCCCACAGAAGCCGTACCTAAAAAGCATTGCAAAGCCTATTTCTCAAATCCAACAAACTATATCTGTTACTTATTCATTGAATTAAAAATTGCAAAAAATAAATTGAAATATATATGAACCTCTTCTTCTAGAGCATTAAGCCTTGAGTCCCCTTGTGACATACAAATGCAACCAAATATTATATATTTGCTTTCAATTTAGCATATACTTGAAAGCTCAAGACTTGAAGCTGAAACGGGAAACAAACCTTAAGAGTGAACAAAACATACTGCAAATGATGGATCTTCTGGGCCATGTCGTCAATGCTCTTCGATACAATCGATTGTCTCATTCAGATTTTGAACACTTTATGCTAGAACTGATTCTGCATAACAAAATTAATAATAGCTAAGAAGAAAATCATGGGTAACAAATTGAAGGAAATTTTTTTTATAAAAAATAAAGCTTGAAGTGGACGATCTTGAGCTGGTATTGGTGGAGTTGGCAGAGGGAGGAATTGTCATTGTTGTCGTTGGTGTGGTGAGGTGAACATATAGTTTGGGAGAGAGGCACACAAGAGAGGAGAACAAGGCGGGAGAGGGAAATAGACTTTAAAGCGTATAGCCGTTCGGCTATACTCTTTTTAATTTTTAATGTATAGCCGAGCAGCTATTTGAATATTTAAATTTTATAGCCGCGCGGCTATACTGTTCAAACAAAAATTTCTTTATGCTCCGCAGGTAAGTGCTCATCTTATAAGTGGGGCCAAAAAGAAAGAAATTTCTTACGAAAAAAGAAAAAAATGAAGAGAAGAAATCTCCAACTCCACATCATATCTCATTGAAAACTCAATACATTACTGTCCAACAAATTGTTAAATTACTGTAACAAGAAGATGAAATAGGTATGCACAATGCTAGAGAATGGTGATAGCTCCCTGTAGAAGGAATAAGATAGTTGTTTGTTAAGAAGTTATAAAAATATGGAATGCAAAGTTCTTCACCATATAAAATCAGATTCACCTTGATGCAGTCATATCGATGGATAATGCCAAGTATATTAAGCAGCTGTCTTTTGTACTCTTGTATTCGCTTTGTCTGCACATCAAACATTGCATCTAAACTAATCTGCAGTTGAAAGTGATAAATTTCATTGTAATCTATTAGACAAAGGAGAAAAGATGAACAGGATAGAAGTTCTTAGAACTTGTGACCAAACCTTCACCATTCATTGATTCAATGTACAAATATGAAGCCTAGAGAGTACCATCATCCATTCTTGTTGAAGGTCAGGATCTGCTGCATATGCTCGCAAGCCAGTTAGAAGGTCAACATCACGAATCCAAGCTTCTGTTCCAAGCCATTTTGAGATAAGAGCACACAGGCTAGGATTACTCACCACAATCCAGCGGCGCTGAGAAATCAAATGTCAGTGCATTATCACATACATGCATATAGACTGTATACTGCTAAGAATAATGAGGAATCCCTGATTCATCGATGCATCATAAGAACAACCTTTGAATATGTACAGGAATCTATTCTAAGTTCCACAGCATCATGCATCCAATTAAGTGGTCACCAACGGACATCATCATAGTCAAACATTAAATAAGATATATTAAAGAAAGCTGCAGGAAAGGTTGTTGCATCCCAATTTACTGCTCAACTGGGTTGGTTTAAAAACATAAAACTCTGTGGGACACTCTGCTTCATAAGCCCTATTTGATAACTATAACAGCACAAACTACAAAGGTGTTTAAAACCCATCTTTCGAGGTGTGTATCTCACCATTCTTCTTCAACCACATAAACAGAATGAATAGTCTAATGAAACTAGCAACTACTTTATAAAAGATGCTATGAACTTTATACCTGGGTAACACCACTTGTCTTGCATTGAAATTTCTGAGGCCACAGCTCATAGAAGTCCTGTGAAAGAGAAGAGGTGTCAGATGACCTAATTTAAGGTATCATAAGAATTTAGATATCTTCAACTTTGTCATAAGCCAAGGGAAAATACAACAATGCAAGGAACACATGGTACCTTGAATAATTTTGCTTTTAGCATTTCTGAATGTACTTTGGAACATCATCACAGTAGAATTTACAAAAACTACAGATAATACCAGATGCCAACCACAATTGGAAGCCCAGAATCATATATCTACCAAGAATACAATCAAATATACCATGAAATACAATATGGTTTTAAACATACCTGCACAGCACCTTCCTCAATCATTGACATCCAGGATAGCCGATTGTAATCTAAACCAATCCTCTTCTTCAACTCTTCCACAAACGTAAAGTTTATTTCATATATAATCTGGAGCAATAAAAACCTTACCACAATGATTTGAGTGACAAAATAATAATCTCATAAAATCATGGGTAACAAATTTCAAAAAAAAAAAAATATGAAACATAAAGCTTGAAGTGGGAGTAAATCCCTAAGTGAGAGATCTTGAGCTGGAATTGGTGGAGGTGGCAGAGGGAGGAATTGTCGTTGTTGTCGTTGGTGTGGTGAGGTGAACATGACGTTTGGAAGAGAGCCAAGAGAGAAGGCGAGAGCAAGGATTGAAATATCGGCCGATATACCGATATATCTGTATTTTCAACTATCGACACCGATACGGGGGGGTAAGGCCATATCTTCCTCTGTATCGACAATATATCCTTCGATAAGTTCGATATTTCCGATATTTTGCCGATATCCCCGATATTTCCCGATACCCATAGCAGAACCAAAAAAAAATTCAGAAGTTTTGAAGGCAATTGAAGCAAATTGAAACCCAAAAATTGCTAATCCTTGCCCAGAACCCTATAATTTATTAATATGAAGAATCTATGCACAGTCCACTGGCCACATATCTTCAATCCATCTGAAGAGGACATGGGGAATAGTTTTGGATCTATGAGCATAGAAACTAGACCTAGTACTAACTCAAATGAATCTTATGATGGCTATGGTTATGTCATGTCTAATTATAGTGGAACTAGTTATGGAGCTCAAGATGATGAAACAGATTATGGACCTACTAGTTGGGTTAATCCTAACTATCCCATATATGGGAGGACAGTAGGGAGCTCAAGAGAGACTTATGTGCCCTATGTTCTAACATGGCTTACAAACTGCTCGGGTTACATAACTTGGTATAACTATTGTATGAATCTAGATGGTTGTTCCTCATTGTTTGAACCTCATAGGAGCTCTTCATTTATGTAGGTGGACACTTATCTAAATTGTAATCTAATGTTTAAACAAACTATGGATTTATGCATGGTTTATTCATTCTAATCAAAATTTTATTTTCAAACTTTTCATTAATTCGCATTACATACCACTTATAGTTCATCAATGTATATCTTATTATTAGTAAATTTTCAGTTTTATTTGTTCAATACATTCATTGATAATGTATATAACATCTATGAAACTTTTACACCAAAATTATGTGTTTCAATGTCTATATCAGTCTTTTTTGTTGATTTTTTCCCGATACCTAAAACGATAACGATATATCCCCCGAAATATCTGTAAATTGGAGGCCCGATATTATCTGCA